GTATCCATGGAAAACAGCGATAATGTTAGGTTTTCACATTTTGTCGTCAGACAGGTCAGGCCAAGTGGGTCGGTCAGTCGAGTAAAACAAATAAAAAAGAGAAGAATAATAATGATCGACGGAGTGCGAGTTGAGATAGAGCTTGGATATGTGCGTTTCTTTGTTATCTGTTTACAGAATGGAAAATTTGGCATGAACTCTTCCCATTAAAATCATCTGCTTTTAATTTTTTAGTTGTTATGGATACCTTACAGGTGAATAGTGCTTTTCACGCGCGCCGATTGATTGGTTCAGAAGTGGTTACCAAGTGCTATTCACCTCCAAGCATACATACATACATACATACATTCATACATACTCGAATATTAAATATCAAGTTACAAAGAAAAAAGAAAAAAAACTATCTACAGATTAAAATGTAGATTATAAAAACAGCTTACATTTCGATAATAAAATAGCATCTTATGATCTATGAATTAACATATTTATAAAAATTTTCTTTCTAAAAAGGTTAAGGCTTTTTGTGGTTATGATCTACTTTGGTAAAGAGTTAAATATTTTTACCCCAAGGTAGGCAAAAGCCCTTTGGCCGGTCGAGATCTTGCATTACTTGACTGGTAATTTTTGTTGTTAATGTTACGCAACTGGAATAGGGATTTTACATATCCAGATGTAACGAGTGTTTTGGAAAAACAAAATTGCGTTCTAGTTTTTTCGATTTTTTGTCGGGTATATGTATACGTATATGATGATAGAATGCCATGAATAAGTTCAAATAACCTTTACGAAGTGGCAAGATCAACTTTCCGTACGATTTAAACCAGAAAGGGAATCGGGTTCTTAGCTTGTGACTGATATTCAACCAAACTAGACCGTAATCTTTACTAGATAGGCTTTTTAAAGCTCTGTAGAGAGCGAGTCAGCTGTGCTCCAGGAAGGCAAGTTATACTTTAGATTGCAATCTCGCTTGCTTGAGAATTTATTTTGAATTGAATTTGATCTGTTTACCACAGTATGGTAGTCGAGGTAAAGAAATTCTCAAAATTCTCGTTGTTGACTTTAACTACGTGTGCTGGTGGTATTCAAAAAGAAAACAGGATATTGATCACGCTGAGATGAAATTGTACTCGTCGCCAAAGTTGCGGTAGGAACATTTAGAGGCGCTATGTCTTTAAATTAAATGGCGGGAACTATATGTGGCTTAGAGGGAAAATTATTACGATTGGGAGAGGAAATATCACGAAGGTTTGTTGTCATCAATGCAAATTCAGCTTTTTTTTTTTATTATTTTTTTCGAAGCCGAAGTCGAAATATTTCTTAAGTGCAACCTCTATCTTACTGATGAAAACAAATATTTAGCAGTGCTGATGATAAAAAAATTTTACTCGGATATAAGCTCAAATTCTCTGATCACTTGAGTGATATGTTGAATATTGCGTTGGCCCTCAAGTTTCATGCTCTAACAAACCGTTAACCACAAGACGCCAGCTATTCCATTGTTTTTCGCAGTTTGTTTGCCTTCATCAACAATAAGCATTCAATAATCGTGGGGTGTCATTTGACCCAAAGTTAATTATCTTTACATAAGTTCCAACTGACATTTGAACGACACGGAGATATTGAATAATCAACGTATGTTGGGTTTTTCCATTTCTCCTTAAAAGAAATTGAGTTTTAAGAATTCACAATGGAATACATTTATATGTATTTTATGAGAAAGGCTGCACTGGCCAAAATTCTGAATATCTTTTTTTGGGAATACCGTGTTTGTCTTTACATTTTTAAAAAGCGTTTTTATCACGGAGAGTATAATCTATGATAATGTCTTTTGTTCATGTCATATTTCTACCTTGGAGTAGTCTTTGCAGGCAATCGTCAGCGAGCCAGTACCTTTATTTTCACAAATAGCGAAGAAATTCCAAAATTTCTCAGAGGAAAGATCTAAGTTTTGTGTCTTTCTGTTTTGTTTAGTGTTTTGATATCCAGTTTATCCAAGCCAGGCCAGTTCTCTCTCCTTCGGCTCACGAGGAACCAACTGCTTACAGGGTCAACCGGAATTGAAGCTTAATTTTGACATTCACAGTATTTCCTTCCAGTTCCACCCCTTTAGTTACTTTCTCAAAGAAACTTCATGTATCAATTTTACATCTAAGTTTCAAGAACTCGGTTTGTGAGTTACTATTTTGCTGGGCAGACTCAATCTAGAAAATAACACAAACAGATTTGGAGTTAGATTTTCTCTTTAAAAATGTGAAAATGATATTCTTTTCATAATTCTCTTTCTTCTATTTTTGTTGAAATTATTTGCTAAATTTATTTTCCCCCAAAAGGCTTTAATCTTCAATTATTCAATAACATTTGTCATTGATTAGGAGTGATGCGTTTGCCAAACTCTTAGGTCAAGATTAATTAAGACTTGATTTCCGGTGAGTTCCGGTGCGTATTATCGTAAAAAATGAGCGTCTTTCTTGTCACTTTCGCCGAATAACAAAAATATTAACGTCAGGATCCCATTTTTTTTGTATGTCTTTGTGGGGAAACGTGGGGGCGGGATTACACTTCACCAAATGAAATATTTGCAAGTGTGGATGATCTATGCCTGTTGACGACGTTTCATTCTCATTTTTTATTGGATCACTGACGTACTTTTCAAGGGGGACAGCACTTGTGAGTTACACTGGCGTCATCAAAAGGAAATGAAAAAGACCGTTAACCAACCAAATAATGACACGGAATAAAAAACTAAATCAGTTTTGTTCCGAATTTGAGAGTGAAGGTTTTTTTTTTTTAATTTTTAATTTTTTTTTTAATAGTTGCCGACCTGCAAATCAATGGTAACTGCATCAAAAGCTAATTTCGGTAATAGGTAAAAGAAGAAATTACGTTTTTTAGCTATTATGTGTCAGGTGACAGTATTTTACACACTACATTCATTAGCCCTTGACAGTTACCCGCACCTTGTTTACTTACGCTGATAAAATAGAATTTATAGAGGCTCATGCATTTCAAGAGTGAGAGTTTCCTCTCTGATGATCGGAGTCTGTAAAACGCACAATTTCACTTCTTTTAGCGGGAGAACGCCCGACTGAAGCTTAATTTTCATGAAGTTCTACGATGGCAGATGCGAAAAACCAGTTTTATTCGTCTCTCATCGTTAACTCCGTGTTAAACGCCGTGTTTTCTTTAACAGCTGTGGCGTTGAACATTTTAACAATTTATGTGATGAGGAAATCTTCGTCCTTACCACCGACCTTGAGAACATTACTGTTGAGTCTTGCTGTTTCTGATCTTAGTGTTGGTTTGCTGGCACAACCACTTTACGTTGAAAAGCTTATTACGGCTTTGCTGCAGAACTCCTCAGACGGTCCGGCGTCTAGCCTGCGCAAATGTACAGATTTTATAAGAAGAGTGATTCTGTATGCTTCATTCTTCAGTATTAGTGCCGTGGGTGTAGACAGATTCTTAGCCGTTCATCTTCATCTCAGATATCAGGAACTTGTGACTCACAAGCGTGTTGTTGCCGGTGTCGTGCTGATATGGGTGTTTAGTGCTTTGCTCTCAATGCTGAGGATCGTTTGGGTGGACATGGGTCTTGTGGTCGGTTTTTTTCTTGGTTTTTGCTTTATTTCTTTAACTGTGGTTTACTGCAGAATTTACTTTGTGGTGCTGCACCACACAAACCAAATTCAAGCTTTACAAGTACAACAAGTATCAAAAGATGGTGAATTGGCAGTGAACGATGCAAAGCAAAGGAAAACCGTCATAAGCACTTCATATGTCTTCATTCTGTTTTTGTTTTGTTACCTGCCCCATTATTGCAGTTTCGTCGCGTCTGTGTTCGTCCGAGGACCAAATGCCACCTTAAGGTTATTCTTGATAAATACTTCTTCACTGTTGCTTATTAATTCATCCCTAAATCCTATTATCTACTGTTGGAAGATGAGGCAAGTTCGACGTGGCATCACTGAGATTCTGCGAAACATATTTCTCAATTGAAACTGAACTTCAAATTCATGTGACGCATCAAAGTAGCTTTGTCAGAATCCATGTCAGTTGTTTAAAAGTAATCTTTCATAATCAAGAGCATACTGGACAAATTAAATATTTAATTGAAAGAGTGATCTGAAAAAAAAATTAGAAGGTACTGAAAGTTTATCATGATTGTAACCATTTTGTTGACTGATGATCCGCTTTAAATTTTTTTTTCAAGACGCTTGTTTTTCCTCAATTAAAACTTTTAGCTAAAGCTTTGTTATTGAATGCTAAATACATCAAAGGTGTCAAAGCAGAACAGACCCTGGTTTTCCTTTATTAAGATTACCAACTCAAAATTCGACGAATTCTACTCATCTCATTACCGTTATAAAAATGCATTACTTTTTATCTCTATAAAATATCTTATCGAGATGTTTCCTTTTTTTGTCTTGCTACTGCTTCTACCCCTTTCCCCCTCCCCTCTCCCCCTAACCCTCTTCCCCCTTCCCCCACCCCTTCCCCCTACCCCTAACCCTCTTTCCCCTCCCCCTAACCCCCTTCCTCTTCCCCCTCTCCCAACCCCCTTCCCCCTCCCCCTAGCCCCCTTCCCTCTTCCCCCCTAAAAAAAAACCCGGTAGTTTTGTGTCTTGATGACATCTATAACAGTAACGAGGTATATCAACGATGTATTGTGTCACGAAGGATCACATTATGTGTCAGGGTGCACTACAGTTCGTATCCATCTATAAGTTCTAACTGACACTGTATAGTATTACGGAGGAAATGATTTATAGGCGTGTGTGCGGTTTAATACCATTACTTCTCAGAACTGTTCTTCATGGTTCCTTTTTTTCTTTCGACGAGCTTTTACCGCTCTTCCAGACTAGCATCACATTGTTTTTGTTATAATTATTTTTATTTAAAGTGGGATGATATGACGTCAGAAGTGATTACATCGTGAGACAAAACGTGTTCATCAAGGTGGAAAACAGCAGCGTTTTTAAAGATGTCTTCTTTTTTTATAGGTGGAAAAAGCAATCCTGATTGTGAACAGCGCCATCGCAAACCAGATTGACTGGTCTGAAATCAACAACATCGTTAAAGAGGCACAGTCACAAGGGGACCCAGTGGCTTGTGCTATTGGTGCATTGAAACTGGAAACTAATCATATCAGCATGCATCTCAGGTCTGATATCTCTATTATAGCATGGTTCTGTAGGCTCCATAATCAAGTGCTTAGATTGCTAGCGACTTAGAATGCCTGAGTGGGAGTCCTAGGCCTGGTTACTCATTGACAGCCAACTGATTCCTCTCTATGTAGTTTTGATCTGAAGATTTGAGTTGCTTCATGGAATTGGTTCTGATTGATTTGGTAAGCCCCACAGGCCTTTTTGCAATAAACACAGTTGAGTCAACCAGTCTTCATCTCAAAAATTAATTCTGGCGCTGTTTTTGGGTACCTGTGTTCTATCCACCTCAACATCTTCTGGGAATTGTGCGTGTAATATCATCTTTGTCACGACCTGCGCATTGCGCATTTAGCATTGCGCCAAAATCCCTTTCTCAGCTATTGTTTATGAGAGCAAAAAAACCTTGTCTCACTGTAGGAACCCTTGTTTTGAAATGTCATCAGTTCTAGCACAACTTGCGAAGTAATATAATCAAGGAAGCAGCTTAAATCTTTGGGGAATGACCAATAAGAACTTTTTCTCTCTTTTAATTACACGCTTTTTTTCTTTATTTCACACTTTATGCAACAACGTCACGTAGGAATCCGTATGACTCTTCAGAATCAGACCCTGGTTCAGATGAAGAAGATGATGATGAAAGTACAAAAAATAAAAAGAAGAAAAAAACAAAGGTGAGTCAGTGATTGTACAGTGGAGTTTCTATTGTAACCTTTTGACTCCCTCAAGAATGACTATCGTCGACTTTTTTCTTCCAATATCACCCCCCTCGATCATACATTATGCTTAGAAGAATAAAGGAAATGATCATCAACTTAACATCATCAACAAAAAGTCTCCCTGTCAGCACCTCAGGAATTGTAAAGAGAACAGTATAAAGAATATGAATGCTGATGCTAGGGTGTTGAGGTTTACAAGTGATAAACGACTCAGAACTATACAGGCGAACGTTCCCACTTAGAAGATGAGCAGCCAAGTCATGGTTGCCGCATCTTGAAAAATGTAGCCAAGAATTTCAACCAAATTTTATATCCGTTTTATTCTTTTCCATCCGTTGTCGTCTTTGTCTCATAACGGTTTATTATTGCTTCTTTCGTGCTTTTCTTTACTGTTTATATAATTTTTTTCATAGCCCCCTTTAAGTTGAAGGTTGTTAACTCGTTATGCTTAGTGTGAAACACTACTCCTGATACATTCATCGTCGCGTAGATATGTTCTTTCTTGATAGGCTTAAAAACTGCAAAATTATTCTCTCAGTTCCATAACTCCCAGCACTCCTTATTTATTGAAGTACACTTTCTCCATCTTATAGGGTCCTAAATTTACTAAAATTGACATCAACTTGGCTTTGTCTGCATACGCGAATGCAAGAAGGTACAAGAAGTTATTACTGCGATTATTTCGTTTTGTTTTTGAATATTCTTAACACCGTCCTTTTGATTAGTACACTTTTAGCACATGCCTCGGTGCTAAAGGTTACCAGGGATGGATTTAGAAAAATTTTTGTAATAGATCTGATGCAGTTGCTTCTAGTGGGTTGAGGACTAATAGTGTTTTTTAACTCTGTGGGAGGCGGGGGGAGGAGGAAAAATGATTTTATTCCTTAATGTATGTCAGTCGCTGCTCATAGATGATGGTGTCTTGGAAACGTTATTTGTTTTCCAGTAAATGGTTTGAACCCGGAGGTAACATGTAATAGTGTAGTTTGATCGTCCGAGTGAGTGTAGTCCTGAGAAGGACTGTTGTCGGTCATGGTGACTGACGTTTCGTTTCCGACCAATCACAACTGACCTACGCCACTTGAGTCTTACAGCCAATAACATCACGGCAAAACTGACCAATCAGTTTATACAAGCCGGACTAAGTACATTCGACTGACAACAACCTTTCAATTGACTCTGATGATGACTTCCGCTTAGGTTGTCGAAACGTCAGTCACCATTACCGACAACAGTCCTTCTCAGGACTACACTCATCCGAACGATCAAACCACACTATTACACGTGTTTGTTTTATGCTATATATTACCCCGAGTAATTGGAACTTCTACTCGCTCTTATCGTTGCAGCTTTTATGATAAGAAAAAATTTTCCTCAAAAAAGGAACAAAAGACAATTGATGCTTCGGAGAAGGTTAGTTGGTCTATGTCTTAAGTTATTGGTTGCATAACTTGCAAATCACTTTAACAAATTTAATTGTTTTCAATCACAGGCGTTAAAATCAGCGGAGCGAAAAACGAAGGAAACCCTGAAAGAAGTTGAGACTACTACAAGAATCAAAAAAGCACGGAAAACATACTGGTATAAAATCTTAAAGATACAACCACCTTTGTAGCAGTTTTTCTTGATCATTCTTGTCAAGCAGACAAGGTTTTAGAAGAATAGATTTGATAATAAATGAGCGCGAGCCTTGATGTATACAGAAGATAAAGAGGCATTAACATAAATAGATATTTGCTAGGAAGCCAATTAGATATTTTTTTCTTTATCAGGTTTGAGAAGTTTCTTTGGTTTATCAGTTCTGAGAATTACTTGGTAATTGGTGGCCGAGACCAACAGCAGAATGAACTTGTGGTGAAACGACATCTAGAACAAGGTGTGTTGTAGCTAACTTTACACCCAATGTTAACACTGTTTTATGAATTATTCAACCTCCCAAGCTTTTCCTACGAATGTTGCCAGTCATGAGATTGCTCGCGGTCAAAACTGGTCACATGGTTTTTGAGAGTGCGCCTGGTTACCGCTTACATGCTTCCCAGCGCTTCTTAGCTTGTTTCTTATTTTCCGCGGTTGGCAGTGGGTACATTTTTCAGCTCTTGACTTTGTGTGTTTTGGCGCCAGTTACGTGTTTTTGTGTCATATATCATTATCACATATATCTTTTCTCCTCAGGTGACGTGTACGTTCACGCGGATCTCCATGGTGCCACAAGTGTTATAATAAAGAACCCCACGGGTCAGCCCGTCCCGCCAAAGACCCTTAATGAAGCCGGTTGCATGGCGGTGTCCTACAGTGCTGCATGGGAGGCACGGATTGTGACCTCAGCCTGGTGGGTACATCATTCGCAGGTGTCCAAGACGGCACCCTCAGGAGAGTACCTAACCACGGGAAGCTTCATGATAAGGGGCAAGAAGAACTTCTTGCCGCCATGTTACCTTATGATGGGCTTTGGTTTTTTGTTTAAATTGGATGAAACGTCCGTCGAAAATCATTTGAACGAGAGAAAAGTCAGGGCTGTTGAAGATACTGAATTAGTTGAGGTAAGGTCCGAGAGGTTTTCAAAGATGCTTAGTTTTCCTGTAACATGTTTTGTTTTGCTTTTGTCTTGTTTATTCGCTTTTGAGAGCCTCACACCATCACACAGACTGTTTACACAATATGCATTTTTTTTAACCCAAATATATCGGGTAACAATCCAATGATATAACATTTGGAACTTGATATAGGATGCTGAAGGAGACGAAGAGCTGAGCATTCCAAGCGACGAAGGTGAGGAAGAAAATCCACCGAATTCTGCCGTCGAAGGGGTAGCTACTCTGGAAGAAGATGATGAGGAAGATAGCTTGTTTCCTGATACAAGCATCGATATACAGCTTACGAAGGAGGGAAAGTAAGTTTTGTTTGAATTTCCTGTAGAATAATTTTCAATGGCAATGTATACATCTTTTGTATATCACTAAATTTATCGGGTTTCTGTGTTTCTTTATAGAGTACAGCTTCAGCGTGGAACGAGTAGAAGCAACAGCCGAAGAGATAGCGAAGAAGGAGAAACTGTTGCCCCTGAGGAAAGCAAACAGGTATGTTGAAAGTTTGAGAGGTCATAAGGAGCAAAATGCAAGAAAGCGTAACTTATAGTCAGTTGAGTTTTATTATGTCAGTTTTGGTGATTTCTTATCAAGAAACTGCCAATCGTATCAAAAAAGTAATCAGGAATTAGATTGGCTTTCCTTTCCATAGCTTTATGATTGGTCCACTAAGCTTGCCCTCATTCCTCAACCAATCAGATGCAAAACGAAAACCCTCGTTACCTGACCACTCGCACTTTCTCGCGCTTCAAGCCAATGGAATGAACTTACTCTGTTTCTTGACAGGCCGTTGTTATTATTTTTGTCTCTGTTTTAAAGCACTCGATCGATCGAAACGTGGCCTAATGTACCTCATTACTGCTTCTTTTCAGCTCACAAACAAGCAACGTCTATCGGCGAAACAGAGGAGGTAATAATTAGCCATTATCCTGTGCAAGTAAATCTTGATTCCTACTAAGTGACATGCTGCAGTGAGCACTAACTTCTACTGTGAATCAAGTGCAGCCTCTTGTCTTCTGATTTACGTGGCGACCATCTCATGAAATTAAAGTGCAGTCAACTTTTGCTTGAACTGAGTCCGGGTGTATCCACGTTTCTTTCAAAGGGGAAGATGCGATTACAAGCGGATCAATATCAGTATCTGGGCAACTGCCCACCTACCCCTCCCCTAACCCAACATTAACCTTGACTGTTGTTGGGTTAGGGGAGGGTTAGGTGGGCAGTTTCCCAGATACTGATATTGATCCTATCAAGCTACCCTCAGAATATAGAGTAGGCTGGAAAGATTTAGGACAAGAGAAAAATTAGTTTCTCCCATTGAGACATTGAAGTCTTTGTTCTGTGCTCAATATTGATCTTACCCTGGCCTCTTTTTTTAATTGGGAGATCAGGGTACATCACAGATTTTTAATAACTGTAATTGAATTTATCTCAGAGAGAATCGGAAGAAGAAGGCCAGGCAAGGTGAAGACGGCCTTTTGCAGGAGAATGACGAGGAAGAGCAAGAAATAGAACAAGGAGAAGAATGTGAGCAGAGGAGCAAGGTACGCAGAGTTATGTCTGCCTTCTGTTTTTAATGGTCATGTTGTACATTAGTCCTTGTAAATCTTCTTCATTAGCTTATGTGTTTTATTTATGCGGATAGGTGATTCAGGCATTTGTTTCTGCGTGACGCCGCATTGTGTATTGAAAGTATTTTGGGAAACAGTCCCTGATATCTTCTGATACTTAAAAATATTTTCTACAGAAATCTGAACAAAACCATCAGCAAAAACAAAAACAACAACAGCAGCAGCAGCCACCTAAGAGAGGACAAAAGGTTTGGTATACTTTTCTTTAAAACTGCCAGACTGTCAATGTCGGTGGGTAGAATCAAACATTTAGCTGATTATTAACGCTACAGAGAACGTTTAAGGTTCATTTCCTTCGACCGAGCATAATAGTAGATTGTAACGTGGATGTGTTTGTTTTCAAGTGTTTAGAATGACTTCATTCTCATTCGGCTGGTCATATTAAAGTACAGACATAAAATGAGGACTGTCAAGTCATTGAATGGTAGTCAATGAACGGTGGTTGGACATTACACTTTAGACTTGAAGTAAAACTGGAAAATTACATGAGTCAACGAATACATAGGGTGAAAGTACTGAGTGGCTGCTCACGCCACTCGTCATGTGACCGGAAGTGGTCAAGGGTCACTAGCCGGAAGTGATCATTGCAAGGACTACTCTGTACAGCGTAGTAAACAATCAGCAAGATGGTTTGATTTAAAGACTTAGAAGCTAGAGACTGATTTTCTAGCGTGACCTAAAATTACTAAATAACAGATAAATTATTTGAAGGCTGCACCCTCTTGTTATCTCAGAGAACGGAAGCAATGTAAAAACAACTCAAAGGAACTACCCGTGTAGAAAAGACCTTTTTAGAATGATTTAGTCATATCCTTTTTTCACTTTTCAGACAAAACTTAAGAAAATCAAAGAGAAGTACGGCGAACAGGATGAAGAGGAACGACAAATGAAAATGGAGATTTTAGCGGTAATGGTTTTTAGCATGTTAGGCAGTATTGAATTTCTCCAGTCTGAATCGAAGCGAGGCTGACTGGCATGGTTGCATCGAAATGAGGCTTGACTCGCAGAAATGCCACGGCTTGTTGCGTTTTGTACGGCCTCAAGTGACTAAAAATAATTTGCCTATTCCCAAGCATTTAGTCTAGTTTCCTTGACTGTTTTCTGATTCCCATGAACATCGGATGGTAGAGACACATTGAGGGTAAACCGACCCGAGACATTTGATCCGAATTATGGTTAGCTAATGCTCCACTCCGTTTCTCAATTCTTCAAACGTATGAGCATATTTTCCCTCATAAAAAATGCTGGTTTTTTTTCCCTCTTTCAGTCTGCTGGGCCTTCAAAAGAGAGCAAAGCTGATAAGAGGAAAAAAGACAAGAAAGCGGGCAAAGGAAGTGGCGCCAACAGGCCAGTCAGCGGTAAATCGGGGAGAAGGGAAACCCAGACAAGCAAAGGCCAATACCAAAATCAAAATAATCCATGTGCACCAGAAGGCGGTAAAAGCCGAGATCAGGACAATATCTTCCAGCCTAAACAGAATATGGACGAAAACAAAGGCAGCAAAACAAACTTTACAAATCAAAATTCAAGCGTCAGTCAGGAGAGAGGCGATAGAAAGAAAGACGATATTGACAGTGAAGAGACGGCGAACGATTTGGTTAACTCTTCTGATAAACACACTGATGAAGCAAGCAATTTGGAACCGGACAGTGTAGAGGATAATTCCTCCAAAGAAGGAATTTCAAAGGATGAAGGTACAACAATATTTTATGATGATTATTATTCACGTAATCAACCGTAAAATCTCAAAAGTGATTAAGTGTAAATCAGATTTTCCATTTTCAGGTGCGAATTATGTCACACCTGAGAAAGAAAAGGACATTGTAAGTATACAGCTTGGCTATGCTATGTATTTTTTAAACACCTCACACCTCATCAAACCTTATCACAGAGTCAATGGCTTTGTCAGTCTTAGCGAGATTAACATTCAGAGGTTGTAACAAAATGCCACGCGCACATGATAAGTGACAAGACCCTGTTTGGTGATTAAAAATGACGCATTCGTATGATGATCTACAGATCTTTACTAAATCCTAGATAGTATTTGTTTTCTTATTACTTCTCGATTTAATACTAACTGATTTTTTTTTCCATTCAGGCTGAATCAGATGATGAAGCAGAAGACGTAACTCCGAAAGTACGCAGTGCAATAATTTCTATTGAAATTGTCTTTTTCTGAACGATTCTCACCATCGTAACTCTTAATTTGGTTCATTCTTTCCATGTTTCATTAATAATCTGCTGTTATTAATCGATGATGATAGATTAAAGCATGACAGTTTCACAGCAGCTTACGGTAAAAGTAAACTCTGATTTTACTCACTAGCGTGATTCGTGATTCACCGTTGCAGACTAACCGCAAAAGAATATTTTGATCACTGTCAATGCAACTATATTGAGTGAAGCATGATTGCGAGAAATTCGAACTCTGACGATTTCCGTCGATGTCATGCTTATGTAGCCTTTTTAATTTGCTGCGTTTTGCTGATTTTTTACTTAATTGTCACCAGTTCGTTAATTGCAAATGTATTTACGTGGTAGAGAATATTTAACCATATTTCACAATTTTTTCGTTGGTTTGCAGGAAGCTGTATCACTGCTTGATTCTCTGACAGGGTGTCCAATCTCTGAAGATTTACTGCTGTTTGCAATTCCCGTCTGCGCTCCCTACGGTGCCGTACAAAACTACAAGTAAGACAGCAGTTTTCTTCATGAAACACAAAACTTTCGTTGAGTTACCACGAGGCCTTAAGCTCCAGTTGATCGTGTGCTGGACCAGCCCTGACTAGAGTCTCTGTCTTTTTGTGTCAAACGAGGTGTGGGAAAGTTACAGTTTATAGGGAAAAAGCTTCCTGATATGCTCCTGAGTTAAATATGACGGTCGACGGCCCTTCCCTTGCCGACTCTCCCTGCGATTCTCTCTTTATCCAGAGGTACACTGTTCTTGTCAGGAGTTGGAGAGATATTGAGCTTCCCTAACCCACCAGCTACGAAAAGTGGGATAAACCCTAGATGTTTCACACATTGTTTCGTGAAGTCTCCGGTGGTTGAAATGCATAAAGGTTGTTTTCTGTTGCATTTACCCAAGCAGATAACTGATGTGTGTGTTTTTTAACTTTTGGTCTCTCTTTGTTCGACAGATTTAAAGTAAAACTTACACCAGGAACAGCTCGTCGAGGAAAAGGTTCGAAAAGCTACGCGGAATTTCTTCAATAGATGTTCCGTTGATGCTCAATTGTAAATTTTCTCTGCATTTTCGTGGCCAACTCGGATTTGAATCTACCCGGTCAGGGAATCCTATAAATTAATTTATAATCCAAGTTAATTACAAATTTAGGCCACAAAATTGAGAATTTGCTCCTTAGAATGATACATTTCACCTTGTCCTATGCTTTGTAAAATCCTTATGTGAATTTCAGAGTTTTTTTCTTTCCTTAGCTGCCAAGACGGCGTTGAGCACATTTCTCTTTTCCAAAGAAGCTTCTCAGCTAGAGAGAGATTTGATTAAAAGTCTCAAGGTAAAAATTTCAAAGCTCGCCATACTTCAATAGATAAAGTAGTCGACGATGTTACTGAACTTCAAGTCACTGATAGCATGAATTGCATTTAAACAGTCAGTCGCTCTTCACAACTTTTATGGAAACCACTACTGACAGTGCTCTACGATTGTTTTAAAACTCAGTCATTTTCCATTCTATTTGTAGGACAACGATCTTTCGCGTTACATTCCAGGAAAAGTGAAAGTTTCAGCACCAAACCTTCAGAAAAAGAAGAAGAAATAATCAATTACAATGCAGATTACACTTTATCCAAAGAAATAGTGTTAATAAACCGCAACGTTGTTAATGGACAGAGTGTTGAGTGTTTTTTCTTCCTTTATTACTTTTATTATTAATATTATTATAATTATCATTAATTAGATTATTCTTTTAGTTTCCAGGTCTTTTACTAACGGTCTCGTAACTTATTTTACATTATCCATTTTAACCATCAAATATTGACGTAAACGCATCACGTCACCAAAAACTGGGAATTTTTTGGTGGTATCCGCCATTTTCTGCATCGTAGGTGCAATATGATGAGTCTCTTTTAATGTGGTAATCCTCTTAAGATGGGAGAACATTTGACTGAATATTCGTCACCCCAAGCAGTCAACGTTTTGACGGCAAGCTTTTCGTAGATGCTGTACCAAACACTCGGTGACAAAACATTTAATAGATAATTGACACAAGTCTCTATTTGGATGAAAGGTAGGCCTGTATATTTGTCCTCAGGAATTATCTGCTCCGAGAGATGATCAGTTTTAAGGGGCCAACGTAACCAACTGACTTTCCACTTCTGTGCAAAACTTGACCATGTTTGTCAGCAGCATCAAAGCGAGGCCGGTCCTTTTTTTTTTTTTTATCTTTGCCGAATATCCTCAAAGAAAATGTTCAAGAAAGAACTCGTTTTAAAGCTTCAATACATCGGTGCACATGCAGAGCGAAAACGATTATGAAGAATCCAAATCAGCCGCAGGCATCTGATAAATTTATGTAATGCTTGGTGCCGAGATTATTAGTTATCGCAGTCCTCCTTTCTTTCCACGATGCCTCTGATTAAATTATTTAAATTAATGGATTATTATCAGATTGCATCTTGATTTGTTATGATTGTTTTTTAGGTTCCTTTAGGTCTGGTACATTTTTTTTCAAATTAAAATAACAGTGAATAATCGGTCGAGTGTACTTCAGTTGTTGTATTTCTGTAATTTGTAAGCTCTAAATTATTTTCACAAGAGCTTCATCCACAAGTGAAACTCACAATAACATCAAGAAGATGAAACATTTGCCTCTTACTTGATGGTACTCATGATTTTTCTTTGTTGTCTTCCTCAGACTTAAAACATGAAAAGGTGAAAAACGTACCTGCGATGTTCGGTAGCAATGTTCAATGTGAAAACTTCATCATTGGCCTGAATGTAAAAAATGTTGGAAAAAAAAAAAAACTAAACAAAATTACGATATAAGTGACTTGTCCAAAGTAGTTACAGAGCAGTGTTGATCAAAAGGAATAGAAAGAGACGTAGTTTACTCGTTCTTTCTTTCCGGAAATGCTCCGCTTTTGTTTATCAAATCCTTTTTCCATTTCAACTCTTTACTTCCGTTCACTTTTTTAATAATAGTCATTCCATTTTACCTTTTTCTGTCGGAGTTCAGCGTATTAAATGTCACAATTCTGTGACAGAGTTGTCACGTTGGTTTATGTGTGTACTTTGTGTGGAAAAGAAAGAATAAAAATTATGTTCTTGGCTTTTAAACTTTTCAAATTTTTTTTTTCCTTTTTTTTTCTAATTTCTGGGCTGCGCGGTTAAGTACTGCCCCCATTTGCAACAAACACATTACGAAAAGCTGCGATTAAACTGATAAATGTGGCATTTAATCACTGCGTTTACTTGATGATCGCGACGTTCGTAAACAAACAAACGAATTGTCGTAAGATGCTTTTAATAGCTGATCTTTTAAAATTTTTCAGAATTTGACAGATTTGAATAATTGGTCGACGTGGCGAGTTCGGTATGTTATTTTCAGTTTAACTTGTTATGAGAAATTAAAGAGCCATACTGGCCACCAAAATTTGTAGTAAGTATAAATTATGAGCGACTGAGGAGAGAGAAGATTAAAATTACCCTTGTATGTTCTCATCTGCGAATCCTGGATAAAATGTCTCATTAGAAAAAACTCAAAGTTTTGAATTCCAGACAAGAAATGGATTCAAAACTAATAACGATTTTTTTGTGTCTTTTATCTTAGTTCTCAAGACACCTTCAAGCACCTTGCGGCAAAACGAGATTAGTAAATTAGCGTTTAAATACTTCTAAAATTAATTATTTAAGATTACCGACAAAAGATGCTAATTTGGAGGGTTTTACAGACATTCTATTTTATATGTCGCATTTATAAAAGAAAAAAAAAACGCATATGATATTTTGTTACCAACTGCTGGAAAATGCGGCAGATAAATTCATCAGTAGTGCCATCCGCTTGAAAAAGACCTCAAAAAAAAACTCATCCATTCAATTTCAAATAAATGAAATTTAGCAGCACTAAATCATCAATATTATGGTTGACTCGTTTGCTACTATTCTAGTTTCGTTTCCAGCGGCAACGACACTGAGAGAAATGTTTCAAATGCATTAAACCTGGCTAAAGGTTTCCAGTTCAAACGTCAATCTGTGAGGTAGCTCCAGCCGACGAGGTTTTGTCAAATTCACTGCTGTAACCCAGTTTTGAGTTTCCTCTCGCTCTATCTTTTTGCAGCTGGCGTCGCCAGTACAGACAGCAGAGTATTAAAGTAAGAACACACAAAGCCAACACACCGAAAACAACTCCAACAATGAGAATGGTCTTTTCGGACCTCTCCTGACTCGCCATTTATCCAGCACAATTGATCAGTAAACTGCTGCTGGTGAAGTGTAAGTTTTCACGCTGTCTCCGTGCTCTTGCACTCCTGAAGCGATGATTTAGCTTTGAAGAAGCATATGTTTGTTGTTTTATCAAGTGTTAATTTATATTAGTGTTGGTTCGCGTGAATTGAGAGACTCTGCGCGATGAAGTCCACTTTCCCCAATTGGATACCTGAGGGTTTGTAGTTTTGAATTCAAAGCGGCGTTTCAAACTAGTGATTGAAAAACCTTGCTCTATTTCCTGGCAGTGGGATTCAGAAGAATAGCTTGCAGTAGTTTTTGTTGAGGAGTTCCGTTCTTACAATAGCTAGAGAATTGATTGAAGCAGGTGGGCCAAGCCATTGCACGTGACAGTTATTTAATGACGTGAAACGTTTCCTGCTCGTTATCAAAACCTATCGAAGAACTTAGCGTTGGATTCATTTTTCGATTGTTCCCTTATCAAATGCACCAACGTTAAGGTAGAAAGATTGACTCAATTGATCACTTTGCTCTCAGCGCTGGCCAAACGAATTTCGTACAAATTCAGTAAGCACGAGCTGATTAAAAATGCCACAATCTTATGATATAGGCCCAAGTCCCCGCGCGAGTGTGTTTTTTTAAAGGAGCTTATTTCCCCAATCATAGGCTCAATCGGTGCTAAATATGTATGTTTTAAAAGATAAAGTTTTGACGATAAACATTGCAGGACCTAAAGCGACAGATGAAAAGTTTTGCATGTCTCAGATGACTGTTAATATCTTGCATGTCTCAGATGACTGTCAATATCGACTAAAGTGTAGTGAAGGGAATAAAAAAATCAGAAGAAGTTTATCTAATCTCAATTTAGCGGTCTTCCTCTGAAATCTATAATTTAGTTTGTGTAAATAGTCGTTAGGGTCAACGCTTTTTAGAAACGGCTTTAAGCGCTCATACCGCGATCAGATATATAGAGCTAAATATTTTGGCAGTCGAATTTCGTTTATTTGTTTCTTAAAACTTGCCATATTTTTTCTCCCTGAAACATTTAATTTTGCGACGGAAACTTAATTTTTGATATGAAGACACCATGTAATTGAAATTTTTATCGTGGTTCTTTATCATTTACTTTTATAAAGGATTCGTATTACGGCCGGAAAAAAACTGGCAAGTCTTTGAGAACTTTTCATTAAAATACCGAATACCTCCGGTAAGGTGACATCAACGAAATCTTATCAATCATTCTCCAAATTGGGTTGTCACTACGGTCGTGAATGAGAAAACAAAAGCGTTTGCGCGAATGGCAAACGGCAAGATCTGAACTTTCGCTGTTCCCCTTTGTTTGAGAGCCGTTTGGGCAATGATTTGAAAAATGAGTTGCGCTTTTAACGGTCTTTATTATTTTCTAAACTATTTTCGTGATGATAAATCTATTGAAGTCATAATTCAAAAAGAGCTTGTGAGGGCTTGAAACTTTTTGTAAGTTCAGTTCCGTAGTCGCCCGCGATGAATAATGACAGCTGCTGCTTTACAAGTGCACGCGCAAACACGCACGGTTTTAAATCACGAGTAAAATTTCAATTAACTTTAACGGATTACTTTATTTTATTTATTTATCGATCGTTAGTACTTAGGGAATCAAGTAGGCACAAACATGAACTTAATTATGTAGAAGAATGAGAATATTTACAGTTTTGTTGCTTTTATCAAGTTCACTGCCCTCCCGAAGCGATTTGATCGCAAAAAGTAGCATAACTATTTGTGAAAACACTGGCGGCGGAGATGACCCGATGAGTGTTGTATACGAAAAGGCATGCGAGAAAAAGCTAATTGTTACCATGTCAGTTCGAAGCGGACAGGTAAGAACTCTTTGGATTACCTGTAAGTAATCCAAGTAGTACGAGACGTTACAAGTTGTTAGCTCAATACGATTAGAATCAGAATGTTATGATTACGCTTTGAAATAAATTTATCGTAGAAAAAAGGAGGTTGTAGTTTTTAGTAAAAAGACGACTTTTTTGGTGGAACTTTAAAATATAGCTTTCCTTTCGCAAGTATAAAAAACGCATTATTTCTTGTCAGTGTTGTGAACTTTCCACTCTTGTTTGACGATCGAAAGAGATTTTAACATGTTTTCATGATCGAGTTTTGATGCGTTTAAGTATGGCTTTTTAAGTTCATAAAATGGAATAATTGTTCATCTATGGGATTGAAGACGAAGGGTACCGAGCTAATGTTTATAATATAATAGCCTGAAATTGTAACTATTTACTGAGATCAATCCATTTTTAGCACATTATATTCCAGGAAAAATAAATTATCTATCTCGATCTCCAAAATCAAAATTTATTTGTAACTGACTTTTCCCAGATCGCCTCGTTATAAATATCTCTGAGGTAGAAACTACAAACAAAACCATAGCTATGTGAGAAATGTGTTGTTGATAG